ATTAGCACCCCTTCCGATTGATCAATGTACACGAGACTTATTTTTTCTCGTATACTGCCCACTCATGTGTTATATGCACCCTTAATTACAGGCAATTAAATTCTGGTAAATATATCTGTCGTATATAAACATTTCAGACTGTCAGCATAAACCACAAAATTTCCGATCTTTCTACTCTTTTTTTTCTCACCAAAATAATATTCTAATAAGAGCCCCCTATTTCTAATTTTGAGAGCGCCCTGGTCATTTATTACGTCAAATGCAGTATGTGTAATTTTGTCATGCTTTCTTGTGCATGACATCATCACACTGTGGTTACTTCAAGATTATATGCACATGTTCCTATTATGTTTTATAGCAATACATCATTTATGTAAAATCATGACAGTCATCAGAGATCTGAGATATTATTTTTTAGACTAGTTTATGCATCTATCATGTCTATGTGCCAACTTTGATACGGCCAGGGTGCAGCCTTTTATCTGGTGCAACTAGGTTTTCATGTCAAAATGCATCTGGTGCCTGTTAAATCAAGTTCCTTAAAGCCCTGTTTTCCTTATGTCTCACAAACCATTGAAGTAATGGAGGTGTTATGGCTTGTGTGTCTTTCCAGTGATAAGTGCAGTAGTGAAGCTTAGTGGTCCTGCCGGGTTTAATTCCTGACATGGACACGAATGTGAAGACCATTCTTGGTGTTCACCTCCTTGAAATGACTGGAACTTGTAAAGACGCTGTATTTGACCAAACTCTCTCACTCTTCCACTCACTCACTCATTCACACTCACTCTAAATCACTCTCATTCGCCCATCCTCTCACCCTCACTCACTCACTCACTCACTCACCATCACTGATTCACCCATCTACTCACCCCAGTCACTCACTCACCCACAGTCACTCATGCTCTCATCTACCCACTCTCTCAGTATCACACTCCCTCACTCACTCACTCACTCACTCACTCACTCGGTATCACACTCACCATGCTCACTCTCTATCTCACCATGCTCACTCTCTATCTCACCAGACCGCCTCCATGGTCTTGTGGTAGAGCGTCCGCCCGGAGAGCGGAAGGTCCAGGGTTCGATCCCGGGCCGCGTCATACAAAAAGACGTTAAAAGATTGTACTTGTTGTTACCCTGTCTGGCGCTCGGCATTAAGGGGCTAAAACAAGGACTGGTCGGCTCGGAGTCAGTATACTGTGTCTGAGTGGGGTATTCATGTTAAACTGCGGCATGGTATCTCAGTGAGCTAGCACTATAAATCGGCATCAGTCCGGACTAGTACAAGCAGCCACACACACACATACACGTGCATGCACGTCGCTATATAAGTGCAATAATCTTGGACGCGACGTTAAACCCAATTTCACCTCACCTCACCTCTATCTCACCATGCTCACTCTCTATCTCACCATGCTCACTCTATCTCACCATGCTCACTTTCTATCTCACCATGCTCACTCTATCTCACCATGCTCACTCTCTATCTCACCATGCTCACTCTCTATCTCACCATGCTCACTCTCTCTCACGGGGGGCGGTCGGATAGCCTAGTGGTTAAAGCGTTCGCTCGTCACGCCGAAGACCCGGGTTTGAATCCCGACATGGGTACAATGTGTGAAGCCCATTTCTGGTGATCCCCGCCATGATATTGCTGGAATATTGCTAAAAGCGGCGTAAAACCATACTCACTCACTCACTCACTCTCTCTCACCATGCTCACTCTCTATCTCACCATGCTCACTCTATCTCACCATGCTCTTTCTCTATTTCACCATGCTCACTCTCTATCTCACCATGCTCACTCTCTATCTCACCATGCTCAATCTCTATCTCACCATGCTCACTCTATCTCACTATGCTCACTCTCTATCTCACCATGCTCATTCTCTCTCACCATGCTCACTCTCTATCTCACTATGCTCACTCTCTATTTCACCATGCTCACTCTATCTCACCATGCTCACTCTTTCTCGACATGTTCACTCTGTCTCACCATGCTCACTCTCTATCTCACCATGCTTACTCTCTATCTCACCATGCTCACTCTCCATCTCACCATGCTCACTCTCTATCTCACCATGCTCACTCTCCATCTCACCATGCTCGCTCTCCATCTCACCATGCTCGCTCTCCATCTCACCATGCTCGCTCTCCATCTCACCATGCTCACTCTCCATCTCACCATGCTCACTCTCCATCTCACCATGCTCACTCTCCATCTCACCATGCTCACTCTCCATCTCACCATGCTCGCTCTCCATCTCACCATGCTCACTCTCCATCTCACCATGCTCACTCTCCATCTCACCATGCTCACTCTCCATCTCACCATCACCATGCTCACTCTCCATCTCACCATGCTCACTCTCCATCTCACCATGCTCACTCTCCATCTCACCATGCTCACTCTCCATCTCACCATGCTCACTCTCCATCTCACCATGCTCACTCTCCATCTCACCATGCTCGCTCTCTATCTCACCATGCTCGCTCTCCATCTCACCATGCTCGCTCTCCATCTCACCATGCTCACTCTCCATCTCACCATACTCACTCTCCATCTCACCATCACCATGCTCACTCTCCATCTCACCATGCTCACTCTCCATCTCACCATGCTCAATCTCACCATGCTCACTCTCCATCTCACCATGCTCACTCTCCATCTCACCATGCTCACTCTCCATCTCACCATGCTCACTCTCTATCTCACCATGCTCACTCTCCATCTCACCATGCTCGCTCTCCATCTCACCATGCTCACTCTCTATCTCACCATGCACTCTTAGTTTTCAGTTTTCAGTTTCTGTTACAAATATTTCCATGCGCATTTCGACTGACCATTATCTTTAAGGTCCCTGTCAGTGTCGAGGATTCACAACAATACTCAATGAGGAAGTAGTACTAGGAAAGCAGACACCCTGACATCTGATCTTATAACTGAAACACGGAAACAGTAACCAGTAGTTGTATCTCATCCAATCACTTGACATCATTCAATGTTAGGTCTACCTCAGTCAGTGACCTCAGGCAGGAACATTGGCTTATCTTCAGCAGTGCATCGTTGAGGTCACTTAGATTCAGTGATGGGGCTGGCATCGTCCATCAAGAGATGCTATGTACGTAAGATTAGTGAACTGTGAATGCTCAGTGCTGTGTCAGCTGTTCAATATAAGAGGTGTAATACGATGGGTCGAGTATGATACGTATCACGATACTATGGGTGCGATACGACTGATACCACGATACAGTACTTTTATTTCATCAGTTGATATTCTTTCTTTTTGCAGGTGAATCATAATCCTGAATCATTTGAATTTAAATTTCAGAGATCGAAGATGGGATATTGTAGGACAGAAACATATAGGCGAGAGTGCCTTGTTTGATGCATGTCATTGTATCCCAAATGCGTGGATCAATGCTCATGATGTCAATTATTTACAGACTGTTGTCATATAGCTGGAATATTGCTGAGTGGCGTTAAACAACAAACAAACAAACAAACGTTACATCACTATTCAGTATGTCACAACAGGGTATCTAACCCCATTTTGAGGACATGTAGCAGAGATGACTGTCTCATGGCCCAGTATATAGCCAAAATGGAATGGTAAATGTCATCTTGAAATAACATGGTAGCCATTGGGAAATCAAGTGAAGGTATAATCTGGCTCTTTAATGAAGTGATAACCATTTGCAAATATCCTAAGGAGAGTGCTTGTTATTATTTTTATGTAATTAGTTTCGTAGATCCAAGTTGGTTTGTTGGTTTGTTGTTTTACACCGCCCTCAGCAATATTCCAGCTATATGACGGCGGTCTGTAAATAATTGAGTCTGGACCAGACAATCCACTGATTGATAGCATGAACATCGATCCACGCAATTGGAATCTATGACATGTATCAACCAAGTCAGCCGGCTTGACCACCCGATCCCGTTAGTCGCCTTTTACGACAAGCATAGTCGCCTTTTACAGCAAGCATGGGTTGCTGAAGACCTATTCTTCCCCGGATCTTCACGGGTCTGTAGATCCAAGTATTCAGACATGTCCATGTTGTTAAACTAGTTGGAGGATCCAAGTTTAATATAGGTCCCCATCAACCTATGTTGGTTGTGAGAGGCGACTTAATGGATCGGGTGGTTAGATTTGGTAACTTGGTTAAATGCATATCATTAGTGCCCATAATATCAATCACTAGATTGTCTGGTCCAGACTCAGTTATTATCCCCCGCCAAACAAAGTTGGAGGGGGATATAGAAACGAGCTCCGTCCGTCCGTCACGTTTCGTTTCAGGAGCATAACTCAGAAACCGTTCAATATTTTTTCATCAAACTTTGCAGGTCTGTCAGGTACATGCTGAAATGGTGCCTTTTGCGATTAAGAAATTTTAGAAATTTTTATTTTTTACGTTTCCTTTGCAACAAGATGGACTTAGGTTCTGTGAGGGTAGGGTTCCTTTCCGGAGCATGACTCACAAACCGTTCAATATTTTTTCATGAAACTTTGCAGGTTTGTCAGTTACATGCTGAACTGATGCCTTCTGCTATTTAGAAATTTTAGAAAATTTTATTTTTTTACGTTTCCATGGCAGCAAGATAGACTTAGGTTCCAAATTCATCTTTTTTTCACAATTTCCATGACAAGTTCCACCTCGGTTAAAAAAGGTTAGGGTTTGTTTAGATTTAATTATGTCATAAATTCTGCAACAGGGGCGGGGGACATAGCCACATTAGTGGCAAACTCTTGTTTATATGCTGTTGCCATATAACTAGAATATTTAAAAATAAAAAAGAACCAAAGCAAGTACTGTAAACTACGTTTATAACGACCTTAAAGGGACCACTAATTTTAGTTTGTTATAACTGTAGTTCGTTATAAGCATATATATAGCAAATGGACAGAACTGAAAAATAAGTTAGTTATATCGGTCAGTTCGTTATAGCATGTTTGTTATGAACGTAGTTTATCATACTTAATTTTGTCTCTCTCCCACAGTCCCGGATTAGAATGGGAGCAGAGGAAAGCCGGAATGGAAACTACGGTTTGATGGGAGCGAGTGCAGTGGTAGCTAATATGAACAGACAGGCTGTGAAGGCTCGGGCCTGGTCACTCTTACACCAGTGCTCGCTTGACCAGTGGAAGGGAGGACATGCAGGTGAGTACTGGCTGGCTGCCATGGAAACACTATCAGGGATGTCTGCAGGCTGTCTGCCAGAGGTTCATGGTCATGTCAGGCGAGGTTTACCATACTAGCAGTTCTGGACTATAATACAAAGCTATGGGATATGTGTGTAGAGATAGATGGTGGAACTGGACGCCTGGAAAGACTTAGAATGTTGGGGATTTTTTCATGGTGTGATTTAAAGGGAGAGGCAGGGTGTGTTGTCTGTTCTGATTTAGCTGGATGATTTTGTTCATTCTTTAAAGAATGATGTAGTTTACAGATAAGGGCTTGTAAATTATTTGTATCTTTATCATATAGTTTTTGTTTTTGAAAAATATTGCTGAAAGAGGCGACTATGCTTGCCTTAGGAGGTGACTAATTGGATTGGGTGGTCAGGCTCGCTGACTTGTTTGATGCATGTCATCGTATGCCAATTGCATAGATCGATGCTCTTGACATCAATCACTGGATTGTCTGGTCCAGACTTGATTATTTACTGACCGCTCTTATTTAGTTAGAATATCGCTGAGTATGGTGTTAAACAACAAACCAACATCTAAAAATATGGTAAATATTATGAAATCTCAAGAACTGAATTAACATGATTAAAATGAGGAATGCCATGAAGTGGTGAACATTTGATTAATAGGACATGATGAAGGTCTCTTCTTAAAATTTTCTTGGACTATTTTTCTTTTATCATCTTAAACTTACTTCTACAGGAGATATCGCTTGTGTGAAATCAACAGGGTTTCCTGTTGTCTATTTTTTGTGCAAGGAAATAACATTTTGCTTTGCTTTGAGGTTAAATATATATTTGTAGTGACTTTCTCCCGAAATACTAAAAAAAACCAAAAAAATTGTGATTGAACTTTGTGTGAATGACGTGTAGAGCTAACTAACTTACTTCAGAGATGACGTCATTGCATGTATTTGTTGAAAGTTGGGAATTACAAAAATTAGAGGGGACTGGTAATTTTTAGCGGTGCCAGTTCACCAGGACAGGCAGTTTCAAAACCCAACGGGAACACTGAACAATGAATTTGCATCACAATGCTTTGCAGATTCACAAAATTCACAATTTTTTGCAGTTCCAAGATTTTTAACAATTATCATGATGAGATGTCAAAAATTCTACTACCATGTCTACTGATCTTAAAAACTTGTAACATAGGGTTAGGAGTGTTCACAAATCTGGTTTGTTAACATCGACTCCAGTTCTGGGTGGCGTTGTATTAATGGTTTTGGATGAAATACAATTCCAATGAAACAAAACACCATGGTTTTAAAGAACGACTACAATTAATCTGTCTTAATCGCCAGCACTGACCCCGAATGGTCTGTAAATGAGCAGTGTTACGTATTCCACAAGACTTCTGTTACTGTCCTGGAAATGTTCACTGCGTGGGTAAGCAGTGTTACGTATTCCACACAACTTCTGTTACTGTACTGGAAGTGTTCACTGTGTGGGTGAGCAGTGTTACGTATTCTACACAACTTCTGTTACTGTACTGGAAGTGTTCACTGTGTGGGTGAGAAGTGTTACGTATTCCACACAACTTCCGTTACTGTACTGGAAGTGTTCACTGTGTGGGTGAGCAGTGTTACGTATTCCACACAACTTCTGTTACTGTCCTGGAAATGTTCACTGTGTGGGTGAGCAGTGTTTTGCTTGTAAGTATAAGATTATTTGACAAGCTTACCAAAAACAGAGACCCTGTTGTACACTGTTGGCCGCTGTCATGACTGCTTGATCAACTTTTGTAAACAAACTGATCACGCTTGACGTGGATCTTTGTGAGAGGCACTGTTTACATCTTGCATTTAATTACATTGTTTATTGTACATTTTGTTATATACCGGTTTGTCTTTGTTTCCGCCCATCTGCAGTGAACCTGACATGACAATATTCTCCAATGTGTCCAAATAAAAACTCTTCACTTTATTAATGCTACAAGGGACACTCTCATTTTCTCCATTTATTCATGGGGGGCACGGGTGGCCCAGTCGTTTAAGGCGCTGTGCAGAGTTGCGTCCCTTGGGCATGCCAGAAACCTATGATTGTGGGTTCGAATCCCGGTTCGCCCCGATTATGTTTCTAGGTTTGTCAGCACCATACCCGTGCTCGTGGGTTTCACGGAAGTGGTAAACGTCTTAGACCTGCATCACTTCGGGCTTTCCTCCCACATTAAGCTGACACGCCGTGATATAACTGGAATAATGTTAAAAGCGGCGTTAAATCCAACTCACTCACTCACCATATATTTATGCTCTCAGGACTTACAGTGATATGCACTATGCTAACAAGTGTTAACTTTTTCAGAAGCAGCGGGTTTCTCAGAGACAACAATGTTGTGCAACGGTGTCCTGTATAAGGACTGCAGTTTGACATTCTGTACCAGTAGACAGGGTATTATCAATATCAACAAATCTGGACCACTCTTCAGCTTTCGGAGGAAGAGTAAATTTACCAAAATGGCCGAGCACTTTGAGTACAACCACATCCCTGCTCACCTCTCCTCCATCCAGAACTTTCATGTCAAGAGTGTGCTGTGTTATAAGAGCAACACAGTCGTGCTACATCTAGTTCGAAACTTGATGACCCTATTCGCAATCATAGATCTGGGTGTGAATAAGTACGTGGGCATATTTGGGAAGCAGTCTGTTGAATTTGTGAACGAGGCAGTTCGTGGAGAAATCAGCCCGGATGGAAGCATGTGTATGATAAAGATACCTTCTCTGAGGAGTGACACAAACGCGTTTGTTTTTCAGCTTTACAGTCTAGAGACTCGGGAACTGATGTGTGAAATCTCGCCGCCATACAACCACTCTCTATTTGCCTTTGATCCACGGTTTTGTATGTCCCGTATTGCTGCCACCAGTTTTGTACATGGCGAGGACAACAGCCTCAGTCTGGTTCAAGTTGGATCATGGGACGTCCTTGCCACCAACTCACGGGTCGATGATGTCCACCGAAGCCTTGATCCTAACCTCAAGGACTTGAAGTTTTCTCGGGACGGACATCTCATCATGGCCTTGATGGTAACAAGCGGATGCCACTGCCGGGAGAAGAAGGCCAGAAGATTCCAGCCAATTGATTTGAGCATTTATATTTTTGATGGCGACAATGCCCGTACTTTGCACTGTATCCAATACCACCGTTATGCGTGTGGGTTGCACTCTTGCCCAATAAACTACATGCCTATTTTCTCCCACTGTGGCAGTCGCATGGCTATCGTTCTCAATGACATGGAGACAACCATCGACCATGTTCAGATCTACAAACTGCCGATGCATGGATCACTGCAGAATCGGTGCCGCATTCGTATTTTGCAACACTTCCCTCCAGATGTCATCTCCAGACTCCCATTGCCAGCACGCCTCATCAACTATCTCAAGTTCAAACCAGAATACGCGTGAACACCATTTCAAGTTGAATGAAAACTCATTTCTTAGTAATGACATATCCTTGGCAATGCAGGCCTTTTTATTTTCTCCTTATCAGCTTAATACCCTGGGGTGCGACTGGATTCATTATTTCATGTTGTATTTCCTAGTTCACACACATGGAGAAGTGGTGACGCCTGGTCTTAGTGTTCTGTGCATAAAAATTGCTGCAGTGTTATTAAGAGCAGCATGAAATAATTTTAAGTTAGTCATACTTGAGAAAACTTTCACAAAATTTGTCCTCTCCTCAATCAGCTTAAGTGAATCATCCAACAAGAGCAAGAAGACGGCAGCCATTTTTCCCAGGTCAAGTTGTTCCACATCAGTCATCCGTGCCTTGCATCTGATTGGTCAAGTTGGTATATGCTGCCTTGACCTCGACCACTGATACCATCCTCATTGGTCCCAAGATATCACTTGGAGACGAAATATACCAAAGAGGTAGTAGAACAACCTTAAGAGGTTTTTTGTATGGAAACCACTACTGTATTCAACCTAATAGAAGTGCCCTTTCAATAAGTTACACAGAGGGTGGAGATGGAACATCAGCTGGCTTGTATTGGAGAGGGTGGTGGGTCTCAAATGGCAGTGTGTTAGTAATGGCTTAAGGGCACTTATTAGATTGAATACGGTGTATTATTTGTATTTGATAATGATAAGGTAGAAAGTAGGATATCCCTGTAGTCTTAGGCCAGAGTTTTTGTATTTCTGGGTGTACAGACTTTTGTGTAAAATCATGGTTTGTCATTTTGGTAGGTGGGAAAAATCATGTAAGCCATGTTGAACGTGAAGTTTTGCTTTCGATGGAATATAAAAAGGTGCTTTAACCATTTTTTGCCATTTTTCATTACATTTGGATCAGATGAACATCATGAGTCTGTAAGCATTCTTTATAAAAAGTCTGGCCTTTGGAGATTCTAGATTGAAAAAACATTGTCATTCTCTTTTATATGAATATTTATTTTTGTTAACTCCATTCTAAAATGCTCAAGAATGTTGTGGACATATAATACTTCACGATCATTTTCCTTATGAATGGAAACAAGTGAAAATCCTCGCATCATACTTGCCTAATGACTGATATTACTTTCATGGCAACTGCTTTTATAATGATTGCTTGGTGTTTTTTTTAGGATGACTCTTTCAAGGAATGTTTTTCCTAGTTCTGTCAAATTTGCTTTGAGCAGTGGTTCTGAACAAACGTTTTTTGTGTGAACGAGAGACATATCATGTACATTGCTTTGGGGAAACCCTTGTGAAAAGTCTTCAGTTTCACATAGGCAGTGTTGACACAGGGTCGGGATTTAAAAGGAAAAGATCTTTTCATTTGTCTACTGATATTGATGCCATTGTTGTGGAGATATTTGTAACATCATATTGGTAACCAAATATTTTAAAATCAAGTTCATATGAAGACACTCATTAAATCAATCTCATTAAAATCAGATCTAGTTCTCGCTACCGCTAAACAAAGATCTGAAGACATCCCATTAGGGGTCACGTCAGAACGACCTTTCACCCGACCAATCAGTGCGTCGCTTACCAGATTATGAAAGTGACAGTCGGAATGTGATTTCTAATCATGCAATCTTGAAAACTTTAACATGGGGTATTCCCAACGATAGTTACGGGTTTAACGACTGAATTATTACAATCTAGACCATCTATTATCCACTCCAAAATGTTTTTTTGTTCAGGTTTTAAAATTGTAATCGAGAATTTGTCAAAATATGTTTTGAAGCGTAGTCGCCAATTTGAAATTTGTGCCATTAAGCACAAGAAAGCTGCCTTCTGATTGGTCATTCCATTGGTCGGTCAAAGTTCGCGCAAGTTCGCGGTCTGACGTGACCCGTAATGGGATGTCCTCAGATCTTTGTTTAGCGGTAGCGAGAACTAAGATCTGATTTGAATGAGATTGCTCATTAAATGTTACAATTCAAACAGGGGCAATGAGTTTCACTCTCTGGATGATCCAGGAAGTTTCAGGCAAGCATCTTGCCATGTCCAAATGTTTTGCTCGAAACCAGATTTAAGAAACCCGAATGTTTGGAGCTGGGTGTGTTGCACGTCATTTGTGTGTCAACCAGATACAGAGTGAATTCATCTGGATCCAAGTTGGATCCAAACATTGTGACGGCATAGTTTGGATTACAAATTTGATTGTCTCCCTTGAACACAATGCCTTTTACATGAAGGACAATCTCAGGCTGACACAACTTTGTGGTTAGTCTTATGCTGACGTTGTTGCCTTTCAAATATTCAGTGGGAGACAAGTCTGACCGTACAGCAAACCGGTGACCATGCCTCAATGAGATCTTCAAAGCAACGAGCTTCCTTCATATGAGGCTGCTAAGCCCCATATGACACGCGAGTTTCGGGGGTCTTTTTAGAGGTCATTCGGGACTCAGCCGTGTGGTCTGCCGGATGCAAATAAAATCGTATTTGGTACAAGATTCAAAATTTTAAAAATAATAATGGTGTGCTTAAAGATCACCTTTTTATATTTTATTTTTTCGGTTATTTATCTTCAAATCGTACCTTTTGAGATTTGCATTAAGCAGTATTGGGGATTTCTGATGTGAGCAATGGGAAAAGTTCGATTTTATTCAGGATTCAGGGGATAGGCGTGTTGGCACCCCCTCATTTGTGAAGTGTTGGTTTGAAAGCCTCAATTTACGTTCTCAAAATCTCAAATGCTATAGTCTCAAAATGCTGATCTCCATCCTCGAGGATCAAGGGTATTATTTCTCCATATTATCAAGATACGACCCCTCACCTCATGGCTTCATTTCAGAAGCGACATGACCTACTCCATCTCTCCCATCTCTAACTTTACACTGAATTTCCTCCTTCATAAGGGGCGCTCAGGTAGCCTAGTGGTTAAAGCGTGCGCCTGTCACGCCGAAGATGGGGATCGATTCCTGACATGGGTACAATGTGTGAAGCCCATTTCTGGTGTCCCCTGCCATGATATTGCTGGAATATTGCTAAAAGCAGCGTAAAACCATACCCACTCACTCACTCCTCCTTCATAAGAGTCATTTGATTTAATGGCTATTTTTAATACTGTACCATTGGAATGAGGATCAAGGTGAAGCAATGGTGGCAAATGGATCCAGGATATCTATCACAATAGAATGGAGATATAATACCCAGGATAACCGAGGATGACTGTTCACATGATCACTATTTGTCTTGGTATGTATTTCTGAAATCCTTCTCTCACAGGTGATCCTGCAACACCTTTTGTGACATATCAAACTCTTTGCTAATTATAGATCCTTAGATCTGCGTCGTGTGTGATCAGAAATTATTCAATACTGTACGTGTATACATAGATGTAGCATCTAGTGTGTGATCAGAAATTAACAAACAGGTAAGTATACTACTCAAAAGAAGTTAGGGAACACCTACTTTTTTCATAAGCCCCTGGTCATTTGAAAATATTGAGTGTTCTTTACTTTCTTTTGAATAATTTATAATGTGGCATAAAAAAAATAGACAAATCACATAATCAAATTATTGTCCCAGTGGCCATGTTGCAATACAATGGATCCTTAGATCTGGTGTCGGTGTGTGATCAGATATTATTCAATACTGTACCTGTATACAGATAGACTTAATAAGGCTCTTATCCATTTAAAAATAATTTAACACTGCAGTGAGTGCCTGTGAATGTTGATTATTTAACCATATTGATTGTTATTTACTGCTGGGCTTTCAATGTTTGTTACAAAATGTTCTTTGTGAGCTGTCTAGTTATTGTTGTTAGCTGTAGTAACAACATGTCCGATCTCAGCGAAATGACAGGAATGAATTGACAAAATAATATTTACATACGAAGAAGATATTCTCCTATAATCAAGACAAACTATACCTTCTGAATATAATCAGAGATCAAAAGATTTATGTATAGTCAATCGTGATTGGTTTGTTGGATTGTTTTTAGAGTTACTTCCCTTGATTTTATTAAATCAGTTTTCTGAATGGACACCAAAAAGCATGACACATGGTTCTAATTCCATAAGCAAGATGATGACAATGATTATAATGATTATTATTATTTCATCATTATTATTTTTAAGGTATGTAACATTTGTTACTTGAATTAAAAGTTATTATATTTTGTATGCAATATTTATCTTTTCAGCCTGTCAGCATTATAGACGTATTGGCCTTGTTTTAAATGCTTGGGAATTACGTAAATAGCAGATTAATGTCTGTTTATACTCAATTTGTTACTTTTTATGATATTGACACAACTTCTAGAATGACACATTTTAGGTCATTGAAAAGTATCTTTTGTTCTTGTCCTTGATAAAACATGATCGTTCATGCACTTTGTCAATTTGCATTTACACACGAGCTGTCAAAGCATGTCAGTGTTATTTGAACCTAAATATGTTTTTGATTATGATGAATGTATGTTGAAATTGATGCTCGTGTAACATACTTAAATGTAGTGGAGATGCAAAGTGCAACTGAAATTCATTGTGAGATGTGTCATAAACATTAATAAATTAAAATTTCACCTTGTGGTTGAAAAAACAGGTGACGAAACTGAAGTACACAGTTTATTATAATCGTAGTAAAATTTTGTGTTACTATTGGAAATAGCAATATATTGATTTTTATTCCCATTATTTTTAGCATTGAAAGGTTTGAATACCATCATGAAAATAACTAAGTGGAGTTGTCCTTTCCTGTAGTTTGAACAACTAGGTCAGACAGGAAAATGAGGCCAAACTCCCGTGTCCAGTCGGACAATTCTGAAACTATATGTAAATTAGATATTTGAAACAAAACAACAAAATATGACATCAACTTGAAATATTATTGAATGAATACAAGTTTGTTTGTTTGGTGCTGAATTAGTTAAAACATGCTGTATCGTTGCACTCTTCTCCCATGACCCCTGAAACATGATATATATTTTGAGTCAACACTATGTCGCCAGGTGCATTTGACATCTGTCTGGAGTTTTGCAGTGAGGAATTATGGGCATCGCTTGGAGACAGTCACCTGTCATTTTTGTCATTTTTTTGGAGTCACTGGGTTGTATATTTTCAAAGTTCAACCTATTTTTACATGTAAATGTGTTTTTATGCACACATGCTTGAATGGCTATAGCTTTAGGTCAAATTAGAATTACCACTGAGGTTGTTTTTCAATATATTTTTATTGTCTTTACACAATAAATGTGGGAGACAAAAATCAGTTTATTTCTTTTTCTGAGCGTACCATTGTAGGTAATGGTGAGTGAGTTTGTTATGCCACGGGATGTCAAAATAAGCGTTATTACTCGCCCGTGGAGAGATCCCCCATTTCATAACAATAAGTTGGTATTACACAGTGTTTAATACCAAAGCATGTGCTTCTGTACTGTGGGAACAAGTTTCACTAACACATTTTGAAAACTCTCAACATCCCTGGGTTTATTCAATAACATTGCATGTAGAGATGATAGATCACTGACCTTATGCACACTCGATGACCCCAGCAGCACTGTTGCTAGGCTGACTTCACATGGCATTGTTTCACAGGTGTGTAAAGCAACAAAATTTCACAAATTACGTCATCGGGTATTGTGACATTATAAACTTTGTTGTGCAAGACTCTGTTCCACAAGACGATCTAAGCGCACGATTATTAGGACTTATTAATAGGTCTATGTTAAAGTATGTGAGTTACGATCACCTTGGCGCTACGAAATTGACGAATTGAAATGACATACCGATAATCAAATTATTGAATCCCAGTGGACATGGTGCAATGCACTATTTGAGCCAAAGGTCATACTAGTGTAATATATTCATATAACACAGATTCAAACAGTATTCATATTTTTGACCTGTTATACGGGCCATCTCAAAAACAATGAAGTGTATATCCTGGTGAAAAGGGACATGTCAAAGATATATGTAGTTGCATCAATTTGATGAATTATGTGCTTTGTCGTTAATCATCCATAAAGTTCATAACTAAAAAATTCAGATTTATTGTTAGCTGTTCTGTTTGAATTACTGATGATGCCAAGATTCTGTTGACTTTAGCATCCTAGTATACACTCTAGTACAATAACGTTTTTCAAAATAATATTTTGAAAAATATTAATTGATAATGGTTTATACTTTGACATGATCCCTCAATTTTTTATTTGGTTTTTCAATATTTTGTCAATACTTAAAAATATTATTTTACTTGTACTAATTTGTTATGTATTTTAATACCCTTGGGTATATAGTTTGACAATCCGTATCTATTGAACCTGGGACTGTATTTCCTGTCTGTACTACCTGTGCTGTACCAGCCGCTTGCCATAACATACTCCAATGTGTTGGTCTGAACTGTAGCCTCCCAGCTGAAACCAGGTCAAGGTGCCACTGCAACATGTTCTAGAGTAACCCAAAGGCCCAATACAAACAGAGAAATTGTGTTGCCTTGTTTCTTTAATACCAGTATGTAGTCCAAAAGTGAATCACATCCGTCAATATTTTATTACACAAATGCCTCAAATAATTTGTTTCATAT